AACCAAAAACAAGCACTACAGGTACTTAAATACTTTTTGAATTATTTCATTTTTAAATCTTTAAAAATATTTAAAAATTATTTTAAAATAAAAAATCATTTCCAAAATTAAATTTTAAAATGCTTTTTGAATTATTATTTGAAGGAATTTATTCTTTTATTTGAAATGGATGATGTGAAAGTGATCTTTAGTGCCATACTATGAATTTATGAAAGTTCTGATAAAAGATAAAGACAATACCTTCTTTACTTTGTGTGCAGATTTGCATATGTGTGTGTATGTGTGTGAGCATGTGTATACATAAAACAAATCCACACCTATACACACGTACATGGAATTTGCCATTACCCACGTCTGTTATTGTGCGCTGTTGAGTCGATTTTGACTCATAGCCACCCTATAGAGCATAATAGAACTGCTGCATAGGGTTTCCAGGGAGCGGCTCATGGATTTCACCTGCGACCTTTTGGTTAGCAGCCGAGCTCTTAACCAGTACACCACAAGGGCTCCCCGAAATAGGTCCATTTTTCTTTTCCAACCAACCAATAAGTAAGGGAATAGGTAAGTAAATAAATAAAAGTAATACATGCTTGTGTAGAGAATAAATAACTTTTAGTAACATTTTAGTACATTTTGTATCTTATTCCATTCATTTCCTCTCTTCTATATGGATGAATTGTATGTGAGTGTGTGTGTGAGTGTATTTAGGAACGTGCATAGGTACCATGGAAACCCTGGTGGCATAGTGGTTAAGAGTTCAGCTGCTAATCAAAAGGTTGGCAGTTCGAAACCACCAGGCACTACCTGGAAACCCTATGGGGCAGTTCTGCTCTGTCCTTTAGGGTCGCTATGAGTTGGAATCAACTCGACAACAACTGTTTTTTTTTTTTTTTTTAAAATAGGTACCATATGTATGTGTGTATGTATGTCTGTGCTTACGTTACAATTATCTATTGTTATATGATGAATCACCCAAAAACTTAGAGCCGTAAAACAAGTTATTTATTGTCTTCATCTTGTGCTTCTAGGTGTTGACTGAGCTCTCCTAGGCAGTTCTCTTTTAGGGCATCCTGTGCAGATGCGATCAGATTGTAGATGGGACTGAAGTCACCTCAAAGGCTTCCTCACTTTCATGTCTGGTGGTTGTTGCCAGCTGTCGGCTAGACCTCAGTGAAGGCTGTCAGCCAGGACACCTGCACATGGCCTCTCCATGTGGCCTGGGCTTTTCCACAGCATGATGGCTGAGCTCCAGGAACAAGCATCTCCAGAGAAAGTGGCAGGCAGAAACTGTGTTGCCTTTTCTAGCCTAGCGTTGGAAGTTAATGTGGCATTCCTTCCATTGTACTCTGTTAGAAGCAAGTTCCTAAGGCCAGCCCCTATTGAAGGGGTAGAGAATTAGACAGGAAGAGTGTCTTAAAAATTTGTGGACAGGTTTTTAAATCACCACCACAGATATTTTAGTGAATAACATTTTTACAAACTGAAGTTGCACTGAATATGCAAGGTTGTTTAATAGACATTTTTTTCAAGTTTCTTATTGTAGGGGATAGCATTCTTTGATTCCCACATTCACTATTTCTTGTTTACTTGTATTATTTTCATACGTCTAGAAGACCTTTGAGCTAAAACCATGGAACCACTGTGGAAGTTGTACAGCATTAAAACAGTAATTGATAGCAACTTTGGTTAAGAACGTGGACCTTGTCGTCAGAAAGACCTACATTTAGGTCTGTGCTCTATTCCTTACTAGCTATGTGATCCTAGTCACATTAATTAACTTCTCCAAGGCTTCATTTTATTTTTTTGTAGGACAGAAATAATAATGACACCTTCCTCATAGGATGGATGGGAGGGTTCGTGAGGTAAAGCGGGGAAAGTGTAAGCACAATGACTGGCTGTCATAAGTGCTCACTGGTTTTTTACAGACATACACAGTACACACGTGTGTAGGCAGCCAGACTGGGTTATGTTATCTTGTATAGTAATGAAAAACCCATTGCCCTCAAGTCGAATCCAAGTCAGAGTCACCCTAAAGGGCAGAGTAGAAGTGCCCCTTAGGGTTTCCAAGGAGCAGTTGGTGGATTCGAACTGCGGACCGTTTGGTTAGTAGTCGAGCTCTTAACCATTGCATCACCAGGGCTCGTATATAGTAATTAAGGAATTTTAAATACTTCTGGTAATTAGTTAAATTTTAGAAAAACTTTGTCCTTTTCCTTGTCTGTGAAGTTTCTCCCTTTTAATTTCGCTTTCGATTTCAGGTAAAGAACAAAACAAATAATTAAAAAATTATAAACATTATTCAAAATCATAAGGCTCATCCTTGCCATAGGAACTTTGCCCTTGCTGTTCCTTCGGCTTGGGAACTCTGTTCTGATCATTGCATGGCAGGCTCTTTGTTGTCTTTCCAGTCCCTTTCAAAGTCATCTTTCAGCAGGGCCTTCTCTGTTTATCAAACAAATGTTTTCTTTTCCCTAATTCTCCTAATCACTGTCTTATTAACCTGTTTTACTCTCTTCAAAGCACTTATTGTTATCTTGTTTATTTATTTGTGTATCGGATGCCTTCCTCCATTGCTTGATGTAGGAACCTTATCTGGCTCGATCATCACAGTACTCTAGCTCCTAGAATAGTGGCTGGACAGTAGAGGTGCCTGGTAAATGTTTTTTTTCTTTTGAATGAATGAATGAATAGGTACATTTCCTAATTTGCCTACTCACTTTGATGACTATTGTAGATTATGTCCAACCATATTTATGACATGAGCACAATAAATATCTGCCATGTTGAGTAGAATTAGGCTTATGAAGTGTAAATTCTATGTTGTCACATTTTGCTCTTTACAGGATGAGTTCTTTCAGAATCCTCACGCAATAGATATTGAATCTGAAGACTTCAGCAGCCTGCCCCTGGAAGTAAAGCATGAAATCTTGACGGATATGAAAGAATTTACCAAGCGAAGGAGAACATTATTTGAAAAAATGCCAGAGGTAAAATACACAATAAGGACGTAAATGCTTAGAATTAAGATCTTCACCAAAACTTTTCATTAAAAAGAAAAGAAATTTGATGTATGTTTCTTATAAAATATTGCACTTTCCAGTAAACAGCATTTGTATATATCAGAGATTCTATGAAGCATCATGTAATTATAAGTTTGAACTTATAAACACTTTCTCAAGGAAGTCTTTCTTGATTTTCCACCCAAGATGACATCTTATCTCCTGCTGTATGTTCTCATAGCACCTTGTAACATCTCTTTATAGTTCTTAGCATAATTAGTCTGTTACGCCAAAATGTGCCTATCTTTCTCACTTGTATTCTCAGGACCTAGCTCAGTATGTTTCACGTAGTAAGTGCCAGTTCAGCGTATGCTTAGTCGGCTAGCTCATAAAATCTATTTAATTCATGACATTGGCTGGCTGTCTTTAGAATACCAGTAGTCGTATAGAATCTAATCACAATGGATAAATATGTTCTAAGTTGAAAGTACACATACATCTCTGCCTTTGTGGACAGTGGTGATAGGGCTTCCTCAGCTCGGAGCCCCTGGTGATTCTTAGTGATTAAGCCACAGGAAGCAGGGGTGGGGATGGCACATGGAGCTGGGTTTTGTTGAGCATGTCCCCCATCTCCTGATCATGCTATGTACCATTAATTGTTTATTTTCTTTAATTGGTGAATGAGTTTGTTTCCCTTTCTAGGCCTACCACCTATTATTGCCAACATCGTTGTTGTTCTTAGGTGCTGTCGAGTCAGTTCCGACTCATAGCGACCCTGTGTACAACAGACCGAAAACCCTGCCCGGTCCTGAGCCATCCTCACCATCGCTGCTGTGTTTGAGCTCATTGTTGCAGCCACTGTAGTTCTCCTTTAATCCACTGTAAAATAGAATGTAATTTTGCAGTATTATTATCTCTGGTGAATGGGGGTAGTGGTGGTGGTGGTGTTTTTCTACAGAGTATTAAACATTTTAGAAATCGATATCAAAAATATGAAGAAGGCAGGAGACATTTCTTTACCCATCACTCCCTTCTTTTTTTCCACTAAGAATGTGAAAATAGGAAAATACTAAGGCACAGAGAAGTGATAACTCTTTGGGTATACGAAGGACAGAGTAAATTTATTTCCATTTCAGGAGAAAATCACAGACTCAGTCTATCTGTCAGGCATTTTATTTCTTGAGCGTGAAAGGATTCCTGAGTGGTACTTGAAGAAACGGAATTCAAGTTATGTAAACAGTAGTGGGAAGGAATGAGGGAAAAAGAAGCAGTTCCTCATTTACTCTAGTTTATTCTTTCTGCCATCACATAGTCTCTTGGATTGGTAGACCATAAGGTAGTATAGGGTGGAGGCTAAGTTGGAGCTGCAATTTTGATAAAGTGGGGAAGTTCTAAGTCAGCAGGTTGGACCTTTGTATCGTCTGTACATTGGGCAAATGTAATATTGATTATTGGAGCCTTGGTGGTGCAGTGGGTAAAACCATCGACTGCTAACTGAAAGGCTGGCGGTTGGAAACCACCAGCGGCTCCTTGGGAGAAAGATGTGTCAGTCAGCTTCTGTAAAGATTTACAGCCTTGGAAACCCTATGGGGTTGCTATGAGTCGGAATCGACTCAATGGCAGTGGTTTTTTTTTTTTTTTTTTAAATATTGATCATAGTAGTGATGGTAAGTGATAATAGTAATACTGGTAATCATGATAGAAGCAGTCTCATATAATTGCTAACAACCTGCTTTTAACCCTGTATCTGCCACTTATTAGCCATTCGACTCTAGGGAGGTTAC